TAGCAAAAATGTTACGACGTTTATAATCTATACTAGGAACACTGAAAGACACAAATTCACAGTGCTGTATGTAGGTGTACTACACGGTACACACTTGCGGGTGTAGCTGTTTGATCGTATGACACATGTTTGCACCGAGTCACACTTGGTCGGCAATGTTTTTTTGAACAACAACATGCATTGTATTCTATCAGATACGATTGACTGCTCTGATGAGCGATTTCACTTATTGTTGTTTACAGATGTTCCGATTGGTTGACGTCCAGGTGGCCTGTAAACATGAATTCTCTGACCCTGTGAGCTTTGTCGAATTAATTCCACTATTCCTCTTGTCACCGCATCCACTAATCCGGCACTCGGCCGTCCGCGTTATCCGAGTGAGCTGAGATCCCCAACTTGGGTTCACTTCAAAGTGTCAGTTGATTGAGTGACTTCACGTCGGTGGTTCGCCTCCTAATAAGTCACAATCTCCGAGTGGTACCCCTCCTGATTTTCGTGTACTAAACTCAAACTGACAGCAGAAATGTTGCAACGACGTAGAATTTCAGCGGCTCGCAAACCGAATACCTCATTGAGAAGACTAATTTTCAAAACGACGATCGACACCAAACAACGCGGACGAAAAATGTTGACTATCGGATAAAACGTAACGAGCACAAAAATTTCCATATTGGACAAACCGGAAGAAAATCGTCTAGACAAACCAAGTGGTACATAGTGGTGAATAACATAGAGAGCCGAGTATCAGGCAAATAAATTGAACGGCAAGACGGACAGTAGGACCAATCCAACGAAGCTCAAAGGGTTTCAGTCAGATTATTCAAGTTCACAGGTCATTTCGACATCAACCAATCAGAACATTGACACTAACGTTCCGTGATAACCAATCGAGAAACACTTAGATAAACTTGTGCACAACACTACTCAACGTATGATTGCATTTCACAAAGGCACAGATGATATCAGCCCGATTGCTGCAGGGACGTTGCAAATCCCGGCGAGTATTTCGACCATCAGATCTGACAGACCTTCCTGTTGCAGTGCTTAGTTGTTTCATCACCACTGGTTATTAAATAGTGGTCAGGAATCCATGTTTGCGCGAATGAGTTTGAATCACTCCTCGTGTGGTAGATATATTTAGCAAAATAGATGTTGGAAAGGCTCATCAGCTAACAATTTCATCGAAACCAGGGCATTTCTCGGGAATGACCTCAACCGCAGAAGTCCCAGAAACCTCAAGGCAACTCTTTTGTTTTTGTGGCGCCTGAATCAACCAGTATAAACTAAAACGGCTCAATCATGATGCACACATGGATAAAATCGTCATGTAGCTAAAATTCACAGTTACATTTGCCTGATGAACTTCAATCTACAATCAATGTGATCCTATTCATGTTTGATCAGTGAACGTTTTTGTTGATTTTACTCACATAACTTTTCAAAACCCAAACTTTTTCACACTTTTTATCAACTAGTTACGCTAGTGGAGCAGAACTGCTCAGTCAAGATGACTTGAGACACTTTCTTGACAGCGAGCAAGGGGTAAGTAAGCAATTTTCCTCCGAAATTGGTCATGGTGAAAGTTCGACGACCGCTTTTCTTGCGAATTCATTGTTATCGATTCCCTTGGGCTAAACTTTCCAGTCCCGCGCATGTCAAGTTTACTAGTCTTGTAACACATATTTCTGCATTATTCATGACTTGAAACTTCGAGACTGTCAGCGGATAGGTTAATTAATTTTCTGATAAAGTAGCTTCCATTGCTCCATAAATTTATGCCTCAATTGATTGATGGAGGTTATTCCCTACCACCTTCTTTTAATTTATTCAGGATCGACGGAAAATGAATGGGTTCCACCAGGTCTGAATGGTGGTGTACTAAACTTTCCGGCGTTCCTGAATCTATTTTTACTCGCAAGTTTGCTCCTTTCCTATCATGAGCTAAGTTGCGGTTATACGCAGTATACTGTTCATAAGGTTTCTGAAAATTAGTTGACAGCTCACGACGGGTTTCGCCCTTCTTGTGGCTTATCAGTTTGGCGCAGTCCTCGAGTGTCCGTCAACCTTATGTTCTACTTGAGTACAAATTGTACGAAATACACTCATTTGCAAACAAATGTGCTTAAAGACATTATAAATGGGAGATTAAGGTTCCAGGTGAGTCTCTCGCAAAAGGCATATTTGTTTGCAAATCAGTGTGTTTCGCTTAGTTGCGGTTGGTTAATTCATTGTGATTGGTACTAATCTGATTTCTCCAATGTATGAGTCAAAGTCTGTAATAGATTTATCAAACTGTTCGGATTCTTCAAACCGTTTCAGTGCTGAAATAGCCATGTTGATGCATTTTCTACTAGTCTGAAATAACAAATAGTTTTTAGTTCATTCATATTCTTGTTGTACCCCGGAGTTATGGAAAATAGCATGGACTGTAAAAAACTGGGCATAAAAATTTGAAATTCAATACCGTGTGTTGTAGTTTGCTTTAGCTCACCGAGATTTCACAATTGATTAATAAGCTCGTGGGCTATAACTCATAGGATACCCAGTGTGGTGGATTTATAATTTTTATTATAGCTTACTGGTGCGTTTTTATTCTATTGGAAGGGTATTTTTTCTTATTTGGTGGGAAAAGCCATGAATGATGAACCAACAGATTTTAAAACTTTTATGGAAAGTATAGTTGTTGAAGATTTCGGAACAGCACCATTCTGCACAAACCATCCTTTTTGTTATCGCCAATTAGAACCTTTCACTTGTTGAAAGGAAAAGCACGAGATTTAGACAAATGCTTTCTCACTTGAGCAGTTTGCTGAACAAGTTACTAGTTCTTGATATTCCGCTCATGATATCCGCTAATTGTACAGCTCCAATCATTTATTTGTGAGTAGGTTAGCCACCTTGCTCGATATCCGTTTCCTGAAATCACCTCTACTGAGGTTGACATGTTTCCAACTCGACACAATTCTCATTTAGTCTATTGTGCTGGCTTTTGTGGTTGGGAAAGTCGACCTTCTGCCTATGTCAGGGTCACACCGATCCCTAAAAGCAAATGATATTAGAACATTGATTATTGAGAAGCAGTCCCAATGTCTAAGCCGTCATATTTTGATGCCTGTTTGAGAAAAGAAGCCACAAGAGTGCGTATCGACTGCCTTGAGAAAAATAAACTAGATTTTTCTTCATTCCCTGATAGACCTCCGTAGACGTCTAGAATACTTTTATGTTAAGTGGCCTCCTTACTGCTTTCATTTCTCTCCAAACAGCGGCTTTGGGGTTCATAAAAACTCATTTACATAAAAAATGATTCTTTTCGATCCAAAACAGATATCCGCAAGGTGGTCGACCACGTCACCCACACTTATCCTCATGCACTATCAACTAAATGACCGCTATCTTCAAGCAAGACAGCTTTCTCTTATAACAATAGCATGCAGTGGAGCACGTCCCTTCGTGCAATAGAACAAGCCATGTATCCTGTCCGATACAGAACTAACATTACTTGCTGTTTGTTGAATCAACCGGAGCAGTTCAATGTGCTACTTCGAGGCACATTTACCACTGATCATGTATTCTTGTGATAGTAGCAATATTCCCTATGAGCTGGAAAAAGTGATTTGCTAAGTTTACCAAGAGAATGCTTCCAGAAGAGCTTAGTGTTCTTTGAACATAGTTGATGAACCTGCAACCACCAGACACCTTATTTTACATAAGACCTTCGTATCTTTCGGATAAAACGGACTAAATTGCAAAAAGCGCTCAGAGTGAGTATGATAATAATACAGTCAGACCGATTTCAGTACCGTATCATTCAAGCAGCAACCTGGTGAACAAACTTCAGAAGTTGCACTTCGTGCAATGGGTGACTCTCTCCAAGCTGATACAAAAGGTACTCAGTTAGCAGATAACATATACATGATAGATGTCTGTCAGTTATAGCCCGAATGAGTCAGCTAAATTATGCACATCTAGGATTCGCCGTTTTCCATTAACAAATATTGGTCTAAATAGCAATGAAATTTGATAAACTGGCGGCTACAAGCAAAGAATTACTGTCTACACATATTGGTTAAGTTCTTTCGCATAATCTGCAAGAAACGGACAAGACAGCGTAAAGAGAGATGTGATAGGCAAAATATGCCTAACTTGCACAGGATCCAGGCCGATGACAGCCGTGCTCAAGCTGGAATCGCTAATGAGCTAGCTTACAGAGAGTAATATGGCTGTTGTCCTATTCCCTAGCAAATAGATGAATAGAGTGCATAGGCGCACACCAAACGCACGATGGACGGAACGGGTTCCACGATCCCTAGTTTTCAGGAATGAGAGTCTATGGTATTCAGGCCCTAAGAGTTACAGTATGGATGTTGCAACTAGGCTGACGTGCTGTTGGACTGCTGTGAGAACCTAAAACGGAGGGAAGTTACATTGGTGAGCCTCTAATGTTTTGAGCGGCGTATTTTACTTGCGGTGTATTTTCACACGGTTATCAATATCCTACAGCCCTGATTATCAGATAATCGAACACAGATAATCGATAGCACTACATTCAGGACATTGCGATAGGATTCTGGATGGATAGCTGATTGAAGATATCACTAAGCCTGTTTGTTGTATACCATCACTGCCGAAAGTTTGAAAAGTCGATCCTTGTTTACCTAGACTTAATTACTCACGACTCACTTAACACAACAGATTGGTAGTTGCATCAAGAACACACACGAACTGGACACTATGTCAACAACTCCTGCTGGAAAACGGATGGGTAGCGTAGGTTAACACTTGGTTGCACACACAATGCAAACGTAATCAGGCTTACCTGGACATTGGTAGATCACATGACCCTATGCAACTCAACATCCATTCGGAAAACACTTTTCCGAGCTAACAGTTTCACACGCCTAATTAATCCCCTATTAGCGGACTAAGTTTCTGTTGACGTGCGACACAAATTCTATTTTGTATTCACTTGGTTATCCCCACCCAAAGTATATCCGATTCACCTTCAGCTTGGAACGTGTTTTCCGTCTGGGGGGGGGGGTTCGTCCCAGAATTCGTGTTGTTCCTCCAGTGTGTTCGAACAGGTATAACATGGTTTGTAGATATGCGCATGCGCACACCAGTTTTCTGAAAGGAATGGATGTGAAAAAGTGAAATCTGCTCTTGTTGCTCAAAAATCCGCAAGCGCGCATGAGAGTCACAATAGTGGTCAACACATGCGAAAAATACTTGGATGAAATATCGAGAAGCAAAACGCAAACTGTCTTTTTTTGAGCAGTGACTTACGCTAAGCCGGTACAGTTTTTAAGCTCACGGAAGCGAATTCATCAGCTTTGGAGAACCTCCCATTGGTTGAGAGGTGATATCGTGCTGATACTGCCCGGTCAACTATACAGTCGTATCTTTCGTCCACCTTAACCATCATCATGTGCCTAATCAGTTATTATTTGTGCAATTTATGGTGATTCCAGTAGTGAGTTTGACGCAGGTTTGTTCTTTCCAATGTGTTTGCCAGGCAGGGTATGCTCCATAATTGTGTGAATATGATACTGTTTCTATTCGCATACTTGTAAGCAGCTAGACGTAGCTAGACTCCTCAAAAGCTCCCCTACAAATGATTGTCCACTCCACTTTCAGTGATGAGATAATAAGTTGGTAACTGAAAAGTATTCGAAACCGCGGCTTTCAGAAATCTCCTAGTGAGAACCTCGCTGACTTGGAATATACAAACGATACAGTTCTCTTTTTCAAATGATAAAATGAAGTGACACCAATGGCAAAATCTGAATAAGATTTTCCCGGCCTTTTTTGTGTGCTTCGCGCTCACGAAGTACAAAGTCGTTCTGTGAAACCTTTAATCTTTTAATATGACTAAACGTTCAAAGGGCAGCACTGGAAGTTGTGGAATGCCATGAGTACCTCGGAGGTTATGTTAACTTTAACGGTTGTGTAACAGACGTAGTCAACGCACGAGTCTAAAAGACCAGAATATCGTTGGTCAAGTTCTGCTACCTGTCTCATCGTTGAATCTGAAAAGCTGCGCGTATCGGCCTACAATGCAGGTTGTTTTGTTGTGCGGCTGCCAGACTTGACTAATCTGGGTGGGAAGGCATCTTCAGATTTTCACCACTGATGTTCCAGAAACATAGTGGAATCATCTAGGACCAGCTGATTTGCGATACGATAGACAATATATGTGCAGATGTAGTATTAACTTTGTTTTTAATCTGCATATTTTCATACTTTTTCACTTAGTATGCGTTTGTCAAATCGGCTTCTCGTATGCATTGGGTCTTCTCTGTTTTGCTCTGTACCCCTTCTGTTATGGTGCATGTATTTTTGTGACCAAAGTTTCCGTCCTGTTTGCATTTTTCCTGAATTCACCACCGAACAAATTAGTTCGAACAAGTCAGAGCCCATCCATACTCTGCACATTGCAACTCCCATCGTTTCTACCCGTTGTTTTTTTAGTGACCATGTTGTCGGCTGACGGTACGGTGTTTTTATATTAAATCTGACGGGAAAGGAGACCTGGTGCAATAAATTTTACTGCCAGAGTGAAACAATAGTCTCTCAACTTACTCCAACTGAGAATATGAGATGAGCACGAAGCGCTTAACCAGTACTGTTTTACGCCACCCAAGAAGGGTTAGCTAGCCTATGTGCTCTTGACTTCCAACAATGAAAAATCGCTCTGCATTCCTGTGGGCTTGTGTCTTAGCGGGTACGAAAATACAAGCGACAGCTAAGTATCATCAAATCAGCCCTTCTCGAAGGTCTTCTATGCATTGTGGCTGTTACCTTCAGAAATAAATTTGTGGTGATCCAGGACACGGTGAACAAATTTATTAATGGGACAGGATACACATGTATCAAAAGTTATCTGTGATCAGGCACGATGTATTGGCCCACGGTCCTAATGCTCACGACGCTGAAATTCAAATAATGATTTCAAATCCCATTCTATACAACATGGGCGTTTTTGGATGCAGGTTACGCGCAATTATACATCCTAACCAATTAACGAATGAAACCTAAGTTGCGTTTACGTCAAGTAAATGACAGTCAGATGCGTTAAATACCATGAGATAAAAGGTGGATAATGTAACTTAGATGTAGTTTGCGTGAAATTTTGTCGATCACACAGAGCACTATTATTAGTAACATGGTGTGCAATTTACAGGCTCTATCTAATCGCCTGTTCGAAATATGTCTATCCTCGGAATGGAAGCAGTGGGTGACTAAAGGCATCCATGCGACTTAGATGAATATGGTTTCAAATACAGAACTCCGTCAATGGATAATCAGAAAATTAAACGAGGAGTTGTTATCCGATGGCCTCGGATGACATTTACGTGACAAGGACAGAAACTCAGATATTTTTTTCAAAACCACTGCACAACCAAACGCGTTCAAATCAACTTTTTTTAGAATGTAGTCGGGTCAGATTCTGAGGCACCAGTTTCATATCGTTAACCGAAAACTTGCAGGACCCTCAAGACGAGGAAGAAGAAATTTGGGGCAGATTTGTATCATTTTTCCAATGCCGGCATGGGTATTCCTGTTTTTAAAAACTCCTGCGAGTTGAGCTCCTTGAAACAGCAGGTTCGCGTTCGCTGTTTACATACATAGCGTTTGGATATAAGATATAAGCATTGCAACTGAAAAAGGCGCATCTAACTAGGCACGTGTTCATTGAATCGTACTTTGGTGATGCGAAGATGTGGGACAACGACATTCAAAATCCTCGCTTCACCATTCATTCTTCCGTCTCAGTCCAATAGAAGTCATACCTTTTCAGTGCCCAGCCGGTGTCGTTCCGAATATATCCACAGAGTAGCATGAAAGACTAAACCTTGATCGTATTGTTTGCGCCCAGCTTGCATTTGAAGATCTATTCTCTTGCCTCCACACACATTAATCTTTACAATTCACAAACTATTCATTAGTCTTATGTTTTTCCATCCTTTTGACACCAATTTAATTGTAGCAAATCGGTGTGACGGCAGAACAATGCCGAAGGTATATCGAGTATTTTGAACCCTCCCCAGAAAACCGAGCACTTGGATTGATGGGGATTGATGGTGAGTTTCACAATGTTATGCGTGTGTAATTGTTGGCTGAATTTCACTTTGAATTTACTTTTATTGAAACCCTACCTACACATGTCCCGCCTGAAGGACAAACTTGGTAACTATTCATCCGCTATTCGCTGTAAATCAGCAGAGTTCATGAAAAATAGTGTTCAATATAATGTCATTGGAATCAGATATTAGATAAAATAGGTAGGAGCGTTAACTTCTCCGCCTACAAAATTCATCAAGTGAATCTCCAGGCATACGGGGCACTACTGCCTATCCACCACCCCGAATGATCGTCCCCGCACAACATCAGGAGTCTCTTTTTTCGGGAAAGACTCTCCACAGAATGTGGTTTTATACGGTCGAAAATAATTTTGTGCATACACACGAGCATTTCATCGCTTACGCTTTAATTTATACGGGATGTGGAGCAAAAACAAGAAGGAAAACGTATATTTGATCATGTGTCGCGCACAGTCGGTGACCGTTTTGATGCAGGCAGGAAAAAGCGAGCTCACTGATGCATTCATTTTGAAAACTACGCGTAGAATCTTCCCCTATATACCTGTGCCTAAATTTCTACTTTCCCTTTTATTGTCAAAAACTTATATTCTTACGTTCAATTCAATATTCAATTATTTAGTTTCCCTTCATCAGTTTTTGTACATTCGGCTACAAGTTCTATGATGTTTTATCAGAAGAAGTAGTCACGCACACTGAAAATTAAAGTGCACGCTTCTATTTAGTAAGTACCCACACTTGTGGGCTACTTGTGGCCAGGCAAATCTAAATCGATATCACTCCGATTTGCTCCAGCACAACAAATTTTCCCGGTCTAAGCCGTTGGAATCATAGTTCATAGTTCAGTCATAGTGCATTCTACAGGTGAATTCACTAGGTGCTAGAAGGCTAAAAAACACTGTATGGCTGTTCATCCTTTCTAGGGAGATTCGAGCACGCGGCATCCCGAGCAGCATTTGAAAATCATACCTGTCGACCAGGGTTGGCTGTTTAGTAGCCTGGTTATCTCGATCGAACTTGGGCAGAACATAGCGTCACTCCGTCGCAAAACTCATTCGTATTCACATTTTAATTGGATCTTCGATAAATGATCTCTAATATGTGATATATTTTCTCTTCTGGACAGCTTACTTGCCGTTTTATTGTCTTGAACTAGTAGCTTGAAGGTCACGGGCTTAAATCTTCGTACAGGTTTGTAATGTACGCACTGCTGCAGAAACGTATGTAAATTACATATAGGCTCTTCAGCATAGATGGACCTTACTTGCTTGTGGAATCTTGTTCAAATGCCAAAATCCTCCCATATTACCACCAAATCACAAACTAGTCCGTCTTCTGTTAATCTGACTCCGTCATCGGTACTGACATTCATAAGCGACACTGATTGCAACCATTTGTGCTATTGTGAGCGACTCAGTTAGACAAATAATAATCTCCCTATATATTGACAGGGTTTACCGCTTTCCTGCTCTCCCGTGAATGCGATGCATTCAACGCAACGCACCTGAACGTTTGTCAAGACATGTCGCAGCCCATAACACACTACTACTTGGCTTCTTCACATAAAACGTGAGTTGGTTAAATCAACTACCACTGTATTTACGTGTATTTGTTAGCATTCTGTGGAAAAATCCCAGTTTCTTTCTCATGCATAAGCGCCAAATTCTATTTGTGCGCCTGCTATTGGTTGCTACTTGATCTTTGTTGTCCATCGATAAATCAATAATTCGCATAATCTTCAGCTTTTTTCTCAACAACTCACCAAAATAGGTGACACTTTTGAATCAGTATACTTGCTTTAATTCATTCTTCCAATTCGATCATTACTCGCCGATATCAACGCGACAGTGCAACCTGGCTACAAGTGGTCTTATCAGTGCACTAAGTTAGCGAAATACACTAACCTGGAACCTAGCTAAATCTTCCGTTTGTGGTGTTTCTCCGCAACTAAATGTGCTGCACCAAGCAGCCTCGTGTTTCTGTTGGTACGATATTTGAGATATCGCGATTCATGTATAATCGTAATACACTATCCATAAGGTTGCTAAAAATCTGTCGACAGCCCACGACCGGTTCCGCCCTTCTTGGGGCCCATCGGGTAGGCGCAAATGAGTGTATTTCGCTAATTTCGTTAAACATGGTTTCAACTAGAACATAAGGTTGACATAACCCATCTGATGAGCCCCAGGAAGGTCAAAACCGATCACGGGCTTTTTCAGCAACCTTGTGAGTAGTGTATTCCGATTATAAGTGAGCTAAGTTATTTTGCATTTGCCTTCATGTTTGGGTATGCACGAAACATAGACAAAGCATCTCTCATGCGGTAGAGAGAATCAAAATTTACCTGTGCGTAAAATTTACGAGGGGTTTTAATTTATTGTGGTGGGCGAATGGGAGTCGTGAGTACTCCCAATTATAGGTATGTAAAGGTTGGCCGAAATTCACAAACAGTTCCGCTGGTAAAACGCCAACCACCAGAGTAGGGGTTAATGGTGCACCATGTGCGTGTTGTTTCTCTCATGCTGTGTTTGAAGATTTCTCGAAGTTCGAGTTTTTACCACCTAACGTTAACAGCAATTGTCCAATCCCGTGGACATCAACTCCAATACCTACACGAACACAAGTCCAAGCATGCATTATGAAAGCCAGAAGGATGTTTGACGGCTGATTAGCCATCAACCATGCACTCATCTGTCATGTTCACTGGAGATTTCTTTGAACAAAATGGTTAATCTTTTTCGTTTGCAGATCTAATCTTGTCGTTTGATCTTATCTCGTAAGTTGCTTATGAACTCTTATATATTTACTGCGGTGCAAAGATACCTAAATGTCTTCAAAATAATCTCTATCATTTCAGTTTTCTGCTTGAAGACCAACTGACTGGACCTTGCAGTATTGAGGGATATCGGCGTGCACTGCTCTCTGGATGCCGATACATTGAGAGTAGGTTACCCGTTTTTTAACCTTCTCTTTGCGACATAGCGTTCATTCAATCAACATAAATTTCCAGCTTCAATCTATTTTAGGCGGTATAAAAAACGAGTCTCTCAAACAGCTACATGACCTGTCTCCTTGAAGCATACTCCTACCTAAGCAACCCTTTTCAAGAATAAACTAAACACTTATTGAACTTCTGGACTAATGAATTTGTCATTGGTTTCCCTTACAAACATTCCTGTAGAGAGCTTCACCCATTTTAAAGCACTTTTTGTTGCATCTCACGTCTCGCAATCCAATCGTTCATTCGTTTCCGATGAGATATTAGCATCGCTAGCGTTTTGACACATTCGCATCGCATAGCCCTCTGGCCTTGCTTCAGACCGAATCCACTGAAACTTAGCAAAGGATGCACTCATCATGAAAATGAGTGTCCATACAGATGAGAACAAGTTTTTAACGGTCCCACAGCAATAACGTCATACCATTAACATATGTTTTGGAGTGCCAATTTCGAACTTTTTCAAATATGAGTCCGGAAAAAGGAGCAAGTCAAAGTCAACCAAATGGATAATTTGTGTTCTAAATTATCCTGTCGCAATTATTCTGTTTCAAAAGTGCATCCGAATAGCTTTACACGAGCCCTCACAAATGTATCATTTATTTTTTAGGAAGCAATCATAGATGGAGATGGTTTGTTCCGAAAAAAGACAACAGTGCTCGATCGTTTCATTTGACGCTGCCAGTCAAGTCTCAACCAAAACGTGGTCACTTACCTTCTATTCTGTGTTGCTTTTGCCGTCACGTAACAGCCGAACTGAAACTTTTGTGTATAGGACAAATCAAGCCTACAAGTTTTCCTCGGAAATTTGTCGTTTCACATAAACTCATCCTGCTAATCTTACAAGTAATTGATTTGGCGGGTGTTAAAGGTTATCTAATGCAACTGTACGAATGAAGCCCCATCGCCTTACTGCACCGTTCAAGTTTGGATTGAATTTCAGCAAGACTTCTATAATATGAGCTTCTACATCCAGTTATTTGGTAGCGGCTCAATGATTTCAGTTTAATGACGATGTGAGAGCTGGCAAATGGCTATTGTTCTTATAAAGGCTTTCAAATCAAACGTGTGCCGGACAACCGGAAACATGTAGAGACTCTCCTACCACCATTCACTCAAACCTGGTATCGTCCACTTTAGTCTACTTGCAATATTCTTGTGATTATATTGTGTAACAGAATTTATTTCCTGAACCTAGATTTCTATCCAATTTCCAACTGCAACTTGTCCTCTCCAAAATTCTACAAATACTCTGGGTAAAATTTTGGATGAGTCCCCACTACTTTTGCGTTCTACATTACTAGTGAGCTTTTCATTCTAAAAGGTGACCTTAACAGATTCGGTGACTAATCTTTGCTTGTTTCTGATCTCTGTTCGTTAGCCAATCAGGAATGAAACCTGGCTTATCAAAACTTGCGATTTATACGTCTACAACTGTCTGAAGTTTCTGTAACCCGACTGATGGATTGTGCTTTTTTCTCCACTTCCATACACAGCTTTTCCTATAAACACCGTGTCCATCCAGCTGGTTCCGATTCGCTGATTAGCTTGTTTACTTCTAACTAAGCATGATTACTTGCTAATTTAATTTCGAATTTTTCATCGTGAATTCTAATTTTTATAACCAAAGTGAAATATTTATTCCTTCACAAAGCACTGGTTAGCTTGATGCACGTCAAAGCCCGTTGAAGACGAAAAGACTATGCTCATAAATACGGAAGGCCTGTTGCCATGACTAAACTCAGACCTCGGATACGACGGGAAAAATAACCGAAGTTAGCTCTCTCCCCCATAACGATGATCTTGAACACATCAAAAGATCCACATTGATGTTCGGAGAAAACCCGGCAGATGCACACCGCCTGGGTCTAAGCTCATATTCAAATATTTCGTCTGATCTCTCCACCCTCCCTTAAATCTTCTAAATCAGTCATCCTCTAAATACCTTCAGAGTTTCTGGACACAATAAAACTGTCAACTGTGTTCAAGAAGATTGTGCCTAAACCTCGACAAATTTCGTTCGGCCTACAGTTAACTGATTAAGTTTCCGTGCCTTGGTACTAAATCTAATTTTACATATTCAAACCATTTTTTATCTTAATTAGTGAAATGGTTTGTGTTGCGTGAAGTGGTTTCATTATTGGGCAGTGCAACTCTCAACTCTTTATTACGTTTTATTTTTTCTGCAACTATCGATCGTCAGCTATTTTTTGTAGTGGACATACGCCAATATCCTACGCAGCAAACAGGATCTGGTATTTATATCTATATCTATCTTGTATGGTGTCAGTTGGTGTTTTGGGGACAGATCATGGCTAAACAAAAATTGGTCGGTAAGACAGAAAGCAATTTTGCTAATTTGAACGCTGCTACCCTTGAATACCAAAGTTAAACGTTGTTCTTGGGTTGTCTATGACGGGAATATTTGGAAATAAAGAAATCGAATTTTGCCATGGTTTATGAGATTTCGCTTGCGCTTATTGTGCTTCACATTTGCTCTGTGTAGTGCCCAGTATCCTGTATTGGTAAAATTCGTAAAATGCAATATTTTTAATTTACCAAACAACGTATAAATAACGGCAACCTCATCTGGATGAATGAATTTAACATTTGGGAAAATCCATAAATTTTGAAATGACTTCCGCCGAACATGATGCAAATGAACAGTTAAATCATTTATTTCTATATGGGTTTAACTGTCCGCTATCTATTCAGAGATCATAACTGTTTTCCCAACCAACCTTTCTGTCTTTCGTTAATTTGAAAAGTGGAAATCTACGACGGTCACGATGGATATCCAGTGGTACGAAGAGCCAACTCAAGGCCTCCTGGCATTCCTATTCAAGTTGTGCTGGAAACTATCAGTGGTCTAGCCTTTCATCGCTCTGAGTAAGCCTAAAACCCAGATTTCTTGAGACTCCGTTAGAACGAGACATTTAAACCCATTGATCCCTCTTGTAAAATTCGTAATACTTTTTCTCGATATATTACACTGCTCATTTTGGCAACACAATACTGGTTTCGCTCTTGTTCACGTTCACTTCTATGTTTTCACCAATAATTTTTGTCATTTGGGTGCCAAGGTTATGCAACTGGCAAATCACACTCATTTGTGAATCGCTACAGTGTTAGCTGGAGGCTCATCTAGATCACTCATTTATGACATTCCTCAGTTAATGCTTTTTTTATTGTATTTATGTACGCCATCTAAATTTTTCAATTTATACCGTTTATTTTCACAGACTGCCGCTTGGTTTTTATTCTTAGCTACACTTTAGTTTTTATATCCATTAGGTTATTCAACGAAACTACTTTTGCAAAAAAGTAGTTCTTTGTGACCTGAACAAAACACATCAACGAATCTAAACCAATATTCGCAGAACCCAACAATGTCGCATTGTGTTGCTTCTGTCAGAATACACAATCCCTTAAACTAACACGGTTATCTTGAGAAATGAGTGTATATTTTCATGGTCACAATGTTAGATTTGTTCTTCTAGATTAGAGGTTATTTACACTTTCCCTCTTACGCTCAAAAACAAGACCACTTTCCTAGATTATTGGCGATTCTACCATTTCTCGTGGAAGATGACTAGGATCTAGGGTTACAGCATCATGAAAGAATACCTTAAACAGAGAACTGCTATCTCGAATGCTTAGGTGCTTGGTATGATCGAATAGCGTCTTTAGATCATAGTCGTGTACTGCCTGGATTTCATTGGCTCTGAAGCAATAAATCTACGAACAGTAACCTCAATGCACAAGAAACTGCACGCCTTTTTCCAAGTCTAAGTGCTGCGCCAAAGTAGGTTAGTTTTGAACTAGACGGGCGGAACACATTGATTAGAGCAGTAGGGATTAACGCGTTTTTAACTCAGCTCAGTTTTGAGCAGCTCAGTTTTGAGGCCCTATCCTATATATATGTATATGTATATATATATATATATCCGGTAGGTTTTTCTTTGTGGCAAGTTCCGGCAGGAAAGAATGAAGATTGAAGACTGATACAAAAGGCTACTGGTATTTGGGGGCCAAAGCAACCGATTTACCCATGCATTTCGTTCCACATCGTCTCGGTTTGTTTCACCTTATCTTATAGTAAGATGAGGAAAGACATAGTAAACCGAGTTGATGTACATCAGTGAGAAGTACATATTGTTTGACGCGGCAAAAGTACAGCACATTGTATCCTAAAGCTGTAGATTTAGGTAGCGGCTCACAACGTTCACGCTAACGTGATGCGAATGTAACTTTTAGTGAATACCGTGGTGAACATCCGCGTGTGAGTGAATGATAAAGTGGTGAATGATACAATAAATGATGATAATGATAATGATGATAATGATAATGATAAAATGATAACAAATGAGATCATTCAAACAGGACAGAATTTCATTCGCACTACACTGAAAGGCCTCAAAATGCAACCAATATTTGTGTGAGAATATGTTCATCAGGAGATTCTGACATTAATTAACTTAAAAAATCTACTTTTAATATTCAAAGGCTTCACATCTTCCCTCATTGCTCGCTCCTTTTCTCGTTGAGCAGCTACCCGCTCATCATCTCGGTTGAGCACTTTTTGTCCCACACCCAACAAGTCACCCTGGCTACCATGCTACGCTGCTGCTTTGGACCACGACTGCTTCTACCCTCCACAGAATTCCTGTTCACCTTGGGAGATGCTCAGCTGGAAGCTGAAGAACACGCAGAAAGGGATTTTGAAGGGTATAGAAAAAACAGCGTAACCACAGTTAATCTAAGCAATGAGACCACCGTTTACTCCGGGGACGGAATGCATGTGCGATGGCCTTCACCTCGAGATCTGATTGGGCGAATTTTGTTGAAAGGTAAACGCCTACCTAAAGGAACAACAGGGAACGTCAGCACAGAGAACATGAATGGGCGCGGGTTTGGAACAAGACGATTCGCCAATTACGTAAGCCATACACTTCATCCTTTAATTATCCGTATCACGTAAAAATGTAATGTTTGACTTCGGCCTTGATCTTCTACCGCAACAACAATTCTTGATTATTTAACCCCAACACATTGGTAAAACCGGATCCGAAAAAATTCATTAGTTGTTGCCCAAAAAAGGTAGAACCCTGCTTTTCGTCGGCGCTCGCGAATTTTCAGCATAAAAGAAATGGTTCACAAATGTAGCATTCATCCAACTTCTAAATCAGACTCATGAGTAATTTGGAAGTTTCGAGTTATTTCACCAATGATCAACTGGTCGTCCAGTGATTTGGCATAAATTTAGTGAAAGTACCCCAGCAACAACCTGTACAACGATGGGGCTGCCGTTACGGGTCTTATAAATACTTATGTCAAAGTATACATTCCGTCTTTCAAGCAAAGTCATCCACAGTATTTAATAGAATCCGTGAATAATGTCTTGAAAAACTCCATCCATAGCTTTATCAACCCTTCTGAACGTACAGTACCTTTGTTGTTCAGTTAAACAAAGGTCCCAATAAAATAGTTTTCAGTGTCAATACATTCATTGTGTGAGTTCGCGTTTTGGGATCAACAGTATGTAGTTTATATACAAAGAACCTATAAGAACCTCACTGCAACCTGAAGTTACTGTTAGTTAGACAGGTGCTCTGCAACAACACTGTTTTACCTGTAACAGCCAAGAGAGTCGAAGGTTTATATAGGGTTATTGTACGAAACGCAGATTACTGTACAGAAGCATACCCATCAGCGATGTCATCAATCCTGTTGAGTATGATAAAACACAATAATTGTACGGTCCACTCCGTGGTAGTAAATCAAGCTTCTCTGATGTCATCAGCTCAAAAAATCCGTGACCATGTCTTTCACAGTCTTTGGGATTGTGCTTTTGAGAAGAATACGTTGACTTCTAAAGAGCCGTGAGGAAAACTACGTCTACTGTTCTGGATGACTTTTGTCTGTCTTATGAAGTTTGATGTGGACTTCATTTTCAATTGGCTTGACAGTAACTATCTCAGGCTGTAGCACCTGGAAAAAATCTTCAAATGGTAAGGTCTTTAATTGAAATATTTGTACACCAACTAGGATTCGCCTGTTTACAAATTCTAGGAAGTATCAGGGTCCGAGTTATTTGATTACATTCATTATCCAGCCTTTTATTACATCGACAATCTCAGGGTCGCAAGCATGTGTGCAGCAGTCATGTGAATGTTCACTGTGCCAGAATTGTCCCATTGCTTGGTCTGTGTACTGGTACTTCGTTGCAAAGTAAAACAATGAAACTAGTCGGTCTATGCTACGAAAAATGCACCACTATTTGTCAGTGACTCTCACGGTTTTATTTCATCCAAATGTGAATTTTTCTACCAGTACCTCGGGAGCAAGTTTTTTTGTGCTACAAAATCACATATTGTATCAGTCAAACAAGTTTGGTAGGCGTTTACTGTCACAGTAGAGTGACATTCTTTAAGCTGTTGATGTCGCGGTTAAACAAACGCAACTTTTCAACACCCTAAGAATGTCAGTTCGGTCAGTGCAGGGATTTCGATCTCAATGTTGGTTTTTGAGCTCATATCATCTGAATTGAGATGAATCCGCAGGAATCCTTATTAATATTACCAAACTTGAATTCGTTTTCAAAAATTTATGATGGTTGGCCTTCATTCGAATATTTCTTGACCAGGTTTGAATAGTGTTGCTTTCCCATAAAACCGTTATTTGTTTATCTCCGTATCCCTCTCATTCTTCTGGTTTCTCCTCGTGATCCAAGATATTATGTTTATTTATTTTGCAGCTTCCCGCTCATCAGTCTTCGGTGATCGCCAAAGAGCTGTCTGACCTCTTCTTTTTCGACTGCACAAATAGCTCTGCACTGCCTTCGTCGGACACTGGAAATGGTGAGTCTGTTGTTGATGTTTTGTCCGTTTTTTTGTGCATCTTATGTTGTCGAAAACTAGACTGTCGGTCTTCAAAGCCCTCACAATTTGTTGCTTGCACAGACGTCAAACCCACATCACATTTGGGATATAAACATGACGGACGAGTTAAATGAAATGTTCTGAATGTATCTTATTCTGTTTTGATCATGATTTATTCAGTGGTACAAACTGATCCGTTGCTTTAGTCCGTGGACCAACCATGTACATCCAATCTGCCCTCGCTCTTAGTGTGTTTCTTTGCTTCATTTGTGTCGGTGGCTGCTTCGCCTGATATCTTTTTGGATCGGCAAATCCAAAATTTCCATTAGGCGGTTTTTGATGACGCAATAATTAATTGCTAACACCAGCTGATTATAGAATGAATGACTTGTACTCAGTGACATGTTCCCCCCCCCCTGTGTGACTCAGTTTTTGGTGTAATATTCTGATTCTGGTACCTTTTACATCTAAAGATATTTACGTCTTGACTGAGTTTCCTGAGAATTTTGGAAAACGTTTGATTGGCATAGAAGTCTTCACGGATCAATGTCAGCTAACTTGACTAGATAGGTCTAGATAGGTTCGATTCAGCTAATCAGACTTTATTAATCCTTGCGCTGGTTGACACCATTCCTCATTCGACCTTGCTATCTCACCACTAGGTGAACCATCTACCGGTACGACATAATACCTCCTAAGTGCTTAGACTTAGACCTCACCTTCACTTTGGGCTTGACTGAGATGAATTATGCTCACCATCCAAGGTTTTTGACATTTGTGGATTCTTGAAAATCTACAAGCAGTAGTGGAACTGCGTAAGCCATTGCCAATGAACCAGTTCCTCCTACACTGTCCTCCTACACTGTCAGCTCATAATACTCGGTGGGATCTGGACAGAATTAGTACAAAGAGAAAAGGTTATGTTTTGCAACTTGAAACCATAAACGTTTCACCAAACTAGTACTCGACTGATCGGCTTGACAATTTACTGATCTTATCTATTGATTATGCATATTATTGCGATCAACTAAGCTTTTTCATCCCTTTGTGATTTATAGGCTCACTTTCCACAAAGCCAAAGCCACTGGACGCACGTCTATATCAGTACACCCGAAGCACAACGGCTAACATGCAATCCACAAAGTTTGGTTCGTCCCTAGTTGTTGTGGGCACCCACGGTGAGGCTGGACTTCCGGGACGTCATTCTTCAAAAGGTGTAAGATCTAACACGGACAAACTGCGCGTGCATCCGTACCACGTGGTACAAATTAGTGAATCAGAAGCTTCAAAGGCTTTGGGTCGTGCCTCGGGAGATCTGGTGCAAGTGACAAGAAACACCATGCTCGAGGTCATCCCAAGTCCTTCAAGAGCAGACAGCAGCAACATCAATCCGGTTGATATATGGGCCTGGGGTGGACAAGTGGTCCCCTTGAATTACCAGACAGCTGGACTTGTTATGGATTTAGCAACAGGGTTTTTCGCAAGAAATGGAGCATGTGGTTATGTCTTGAAGCCATCCCTTTATCGGACGGTGTCGTCTTTCTTCAATCCAACCGCCGAACCCTCAGTTGGTTTACACCACAATCCCCCAGATACAACACCGCAGGTGATTTTTTTGGCCGTTCTTTTTAGTCAAGTCATACTCATTGTCTCGTTCATACTATGTGTTGCTATTTCCAAAAGCACAACATACATAGTAAGTCTAACTGTCAGTTTTGCCTTGATAATTCGCTGAGGTTTGCAGCCTTTAGGGGAAAAAATCATAAATCCAACAGGTAGTTGCAATTTACTGGTGACATGAAATGTCCCATAACTGTCAGTTTTGCCTTGATAATTCGCTGAGGTTTGCAGCCTTTAGGGGAAAAAATCATAAATCCAACAGGTAGTTGCAATTTACTGGTGACATGAAATGTCCCATTATTCTAGTTTTTATTGTTTTTCTTACCGTTAGCACAGGCACATTTACTTAGCCAAAGTTAGGCGGGGAAAATTATCCTTGATCAGTCGGGCGTTAGATTTGCCATCTCGGAGAGAGCCAAAACGTTTTGAAGTGCACATCCCATATATGATGAAGCAAGTGTAAAGTCAATCCGGGCGTTTGCTTGCCGAAAACATCGATTTCCGACGAAGATAATAGCCCTCTCGGAGATGTTTACGAAGGCAAATTTGTAAGAACAATAGGCTGCAGCTAAACTCTGAGATGTCAAGATACCTAACTTTCGGCACCTAGCTCACCAAAGTCTACGAGGAAATCCACGAAAGCCTGATCGGCTGGCAGACGTTTCCAGCATCATTTTCACAATACGCACAATTACGAAGTTCTGTGAAACAGCTGGAAATTTGGCATTTGAGATTTTATTCGTAAGTTTGATCAATGCTTTCATTACGGCTGCGTGTCATAGAACGTGTTTTTTCTTCGAAATGTCCTGTTGTTAGATGTTAAACCCATCAGTGGAATTACCCACCTGTAAGTAATCAGTTCTTTATTGACTACTGAATGATTTATTGGTTTCATGACTAGGGTCATGAGGGACGATTATTAGAGAGTATTCACTCTTCCCGAAATTTTCACCCTTTTTCCTTGTTCGACCTCCCCACATGGGCTATCACCAACGGTTTAAAAATGGTCATATTTTTTTCTCAGCAAGTTTTCCGGTATAAAAAACGAGAATTCAAATAAAACATTACGTCACGTGGAATTCCGTGCAGTCTGATAAATCGTGGTATTCTTAGAGGTCCCGTTTTTTTTAGGTCGCATACTCACAATTTTTCCGGTATCTAAATAGTGGGATCAAAGAATCCCTTGAGACTCTCGTGTTTGCAGAAGTACTTTTTTCCGGTATACTTTTACATCGTCAATACATATATATATATATATATATCGGATGACTCGAGAGTGCTTCAAATGGATGGCCTCCTATCAGTACGTAGTTGTATTATTCACACAATAAAGTGAGTTTTATTTACTTGTGCTCGTACGGATCAGCAGCTTGTCTGCAGAGAAGACCGCCGCACGTATCAAATTAAGTTATTGTGATCCGACCGGGTAGCGATACTGGCGATGAGGGGAGCATCATACTTCTGTGAGTTTAACTGCACGCTATTTACCGCTTTTTCACACCAGAACTTTATCTCCTGTTCTCAGGAGGATTAGCATGCAAACTGTATTTTTAGCCCAACATGCTGGATTAATCAAATGAAGAGATTTGCGTGACGAAAACAGATGGAGAGCGAGTGACATCGGTTTCATTTGTACATTTAGATTTTTCGACTGAGGATACTCAGTGCGCAACAACTCCCCAAACCAAGAGGTTCAATCTCTAAGGGAGATACAATCGAACCATACGTCGTTGTAGAAATCCATGGCATTCCCGTTGACTGCGCAGAGCAACGGACCTGCACTGCGCCGGCTGGAAACGCGTCTGGTTACAATGCTACATTTGATAGCACTTTTGAATTTTGCGTACAGTTGGGTAGTCTCGCTCTGGTGCGTTTCGTCGTGTTAGATGACCAGGCGATCGGCGATGACTTTATTGGTCAGAACACAATTCCATTTGATTGTCTACTGACAGGTGAGTGTCTTTTAGTTATTACCTTTAATCATGAGGGGAGAGTTTTAACACAACTTCTAAGCCATTCTAATGTCCAGGATATATTTCCGCGTGATATATTTTTCGACTAAGAATTTAAGTCCCGATGAAGTAATTTATCACCCATGTGGTGTGCAAAGCTTTTAAGATCACATTGGACGGATAATCGACACGCGCACCTGGCAATTTTCATTGGTTAAATCTGGAATGCACCTTTCAGGTAAGATACCCACATATTAGAGGAAGTCTAACTGTGCAGAGTTGACTCGCATTAGGAGGAAACGGGATTTTAGGTCAGTGCTATCCCAACAGTTGCATCAGAGACTAGGTGAAAGGCCTCTAATTTGATTAAATTTAGGCCAGCCGAATTCGAGTAGATAAACTATTGTACTAAGCCAGGGTTTGATCCACAAAGCCGCCTTCACGTTATTTTCCCAACACCTGTTCTGATAACCCATATAATTTTTCGAATATTGATTTGTAAAATGAGGGGTTTTATTTGAATTTGGACAAGGATATGTGCAGCCGTGAGAGGACTTGTGGATAGGAACGCCAAGTTCTTGAGAACATTTGCAGCGTAACAACCATTGTTCATAGTTTTCTCACAAATTAGACCCGCTTAACTCGACAAAAAAGAATGAAACTTGAAGGAAGGTTTGTGATAAAGCAACTACATTAAATGTATGCTGATGTATGCATGTATGTCTGATGTAATATTCAATTCGTGGTGCCGTTACAATATGCAATTATGTACCATCGAATTCAGAACGCAGGAAGATATCTGGGTAACTCAGCTACGCCTCTGTACAGATCCACCTCAAATTTCATTCTGTCGATAACCTCATATGGATATTTGTCCAACGTTGCATCGTCACGCTCGGGTAAATATTTGGTGAATAAATATTCCTCAGTGGTCTATCCAGAGTGTTCTAACCAGTTGAACACAGTGATGTTTTATCAAGTATGTGAATACTATGAATTATGAGGATCAAAGTTTAAAGCTCCCTTGTCCAGTTAAAGATAAGCTCAGGTAATTGGTCTATAGCTCTGGACTACAATCATCAAATAATACAGAGGTTGGTAAATACATCCCCATAGCTTTGCATCAGGATCAGAATCAGACTCCACAGGTTATGATGACTACTTAAGCTGTAGCCTGACCCCACCAAGCACAAAATGGAACATCCCACTGTACATAGAGTAACAGGGGAAGTAAACTATTCAAGGACACCACATAATCACAAAGCAAACACAGAAGCAATTCCAAATCACCAAATAACCACTAGTTTGTTGGAGTTGTGGGGCTCCGCATTCCACCAGGCTATATCTTTATATTTATCACTGCAGCAAATGCAGCAGGCCTGCTCACGGAGTCAAACACTGCCCACCTCCACGGCAAAACAAAGCAATTAATTATTATGTCAAACGACCTGTGGATCAGTGGGACATTTCAACATGCAACGAGTTTCTTGATAGGCAACACTACTAATAAATTTGCTGAAAATCAGCCCAGGAGGCTCGTCTGGCAGGCTCACTCAACGCGTTTCCCCCAATCGTATGTTCTGTCTGGCAAGCAATGTGGGCTCACTTCGCGAAATACACTCCTCTGCAAATTATCCGGTCTTAACGAGAGACTCAACGGAATCCCAACTGAATCTCTCGTTTATGATACTGTCCAAAGGAATGTGCTCCTTAGGTGCCATCTGAGATTACAGACTGTAAGAACGGGTTCGTTCACAGCAGTTTTTGCCTTAAATTCACCACCAAATGGTTTTGGGTCACGAATACCTGTAAAATTATATTGAGTCTTGATTTATTGTGTCGACGAAAGGATTTGACACGCCGTATTTTATACTATACAAATTTATTTAAGTCCTACCTCGTTTTAAGAAACCATCGAGCGGATAAAACGCCTGCGAAATTAACAGACTTGATCCTCCGGGATTTTGTGCCCCGAGAAAACCTCATCCTAATGTGATAAGCAAACAGTGTAGATTGCGTGTTTCCTCATATTGCTGGACAAAATTTGCACCAACTTGTTTTTTGCATCAACTGTGCTGCCTCATTCGATCTGCCACCAAAAGAATGTAGTTACTGAACGAAAATTCATGCAGTTTCACAGTCCTCATTTTAGAACTTTATGCAACACAAGTTTATTTTTCGGAAGTTCACATGATTGACTGCTTGTTTTAAAGTGCTTTCTTAAATAGACTTTTTGGTGCGCAATAACTCCAAGACAGGAACAAGTGTGATAGTCCCCAGGACCGTTTCTTATCTGAGAGAAACTCCTTGCTTGACTGATACCAAATTAGGTCTGGTCATGTGACAAGACTCTCCAAGAAAGATTCACTCAGAGTAACGTCCCTTCATTTGCATAAGCGTCTTCCTATGAGGCAAAATATAATGGAAAATTCAATAAATCTTAACTGTGACAGTGGTGTTTTGGAAGTCGTCAACCCATGTCTTTATGGCATCAGTTGTAAAATTAACGGGATAAGCTAATCCATATGGAATATTTCCTGAAGATCTACATTATTTCTTGGTATTTCAGGTGTATCCTTTTTTATAAAGCCCACATGTATTCGAAGCATTTAGCCGGGCGGGACTTAGTTTGATGCGGTTTAATATCATGCATGAGAAACTTGGACGTGTTGAACAAAAGGATGGATGAAATGGTTCGTACTTCACGGGCAGCTGACCCTTCGTGAGAATCCACCAGTAAACTTGTGTCAAATGCCTTCGGGATGAATAGGCTTTTACTGCTTTTCTTGGTTAATTATAAAGTGTATTACATAATATTTTCTTCATTCGTTTTCATACACCAGTTTTTTTATTTTTCATTTCTATCCCCAATAAACTACTTTTCTCTCAGGGTACCGACATGTCCGTCTACGCAGTGACACCGGTGAACCGATCCCCCAAGCGACACTTTTTATTCACGTGACAATCACAAGCAGAACAGAGGAGGGTACCGAGGTGAGCGATCAGAATGCATTTCATCTGCCTATCTGGTTTCGAGAATACGCGCTAGATTTGTTACTTGAAGTTTTGTCAGTAGTTCAAATTAAAAATTATACGGGATTTCAGGTTCGAGTGGAAAACCACCTCACCTTACTCTTTCACTTAACCTGTGGATCCCCATACAGAACGAGGATTGCACTCAAGTACAAGTTACATTAAGCTGTTTAGCATGTTGTGTCGGACACTGACTAACCAGTTAGCGCGTTGCGAGTGTTGGGTAGGAAGCCCAGTGTGCCCAATTCGCTCAACTCACACAATCAGTTATGCTGTGCTAACCTAATGGATGCCTCCTACAGCACGTACGTTTTGCGGGCGACGAGCGAGAAACATACTGTTTCTCAAGTCATATAGTTGTGTGGTTATATGGTTGCGTTCAGCTCACTCAAGCTGCCAACCTTTGGTTGCTCGTCCCGCAAGCGCCGGATTAAGAAATTACTTTCCGCCAATTTGGTTGAAAATGCACTCACCCCATATACCAACCAAGAGTTGTTCGGACTAATAGACGCGTATTTAAACGTGCACGTTCCAGGAGCCGAGTAGTAAAACCACTTCCCGCATGCTTTAGTAAAATTACGAAGTCACTCAACCCAGACATTCAACCAATATCCATATTGAAAGTTGAGTGAGCGAACCGCTGGTTTTTTATCGGTAGTCCCAGATAGCCTTTGTCGGGGTGATAATGACTGCATCTCTAGCCAGGCGCAAATCCGCCGTAGCAGGAAGCTCTGGTGATTTTCATCCCTATGATTAACAATGCCATATCCTACCACCGTCCCGCCACCAGTAGCGAAGGTGATACCACACAATTTTGTTCTGCATGTTATAAATCGCCAGATATACTGCTGGGAAATTGGAATTTTGAGGACCCAGATAGTTGGTTTCGGGTTGTTTGCTACCCGAATAATATGTATGCGTGTCATTTTATAAGTACAAATGGAAAAATGACAGTTCATGTACAAGACGCTAGTTCTTATTCTGGAGACTCGGTACAGCCATTCGTAGTCAATATCACATTGATATGCTTTCATATAATGTAGAACACACAGACTGCCTCGTGGATATTCGATGAACTTTCAAGTCTCAACTTGCATGACTTCTCTCTTTAAGTCGCATCAGGTATTTTTTACCCTTCCTGGTGCTTTTCACACAAAATCACTTTGTTCACTTTCACTGTGCTTACTTGGTAAGGACATATAATGAACTCTGGTTTTGAAAAGAAAAAGCAACTTGCAACGATCAAACTAATTCCATTACTAACATTATGAATAGACCATGTTCTCAAAGGTTGTATTCTTCCATCCACTCTGCTGTACCTGGCTTATATGTTTGAATCTTTTTTGGCTGCAGACCTGTTCATCAAGTGTTCTTCAGCGCTGGAGAGCCAGAAAACGGCAGCATACGCAACTCAAGAAAATCGGTACATCAACGTTTGATGACATATTCAAGGTACAGTCCCCAGCAGACCTTGTTCTAGGCTTTTCTTGGTCGTTGCCCTAAACTAAATGTGTTTTCCTTTGTGCACCAATATGTGTATATGTGTCTGTATATGTGTCATTGTGTTGAAACAAATTCATCCGTGTTTTTTATGTACAAATTACGATTTTTGAACAGTACGCGGACGATATCTCGGGTATTTTTAGTTTTTGAAGAGAAACTTGTTGGGATCAGTAGGTTCTACGGTCCCGAATAAATGACATAGTTGACTAAGACCACTGTGAAATAATGGTGCGTTACCCGACTGATTACCCCATTGTTTAAATAGGGTTTAGACCCAGTGATTTTACGATCTTTTATGGCTACAAAGTTGAAACTTGCATTTCTTTGAGTTAAACTAAGGAATATATCGCCCACATGTCTCTGAAGTATTCGAAAATCAAATATAGTCGTCAGACACGGGTACAGCATCCGATAAGACGTACCACAATGTGAGTATGTTTCACCCTAAAAGTGAAAATTTGATGAGAATTTTTGGTACAAATTGCTGTGCTCACCAACTTTGGAGGTACGATTGGGGTCTATCATGAACATGTCACTAAATGATTGCCTATACTCCGTTCGAAGCTAATTACATGGATAAAATACTGTCAAATGCCTGATGTTCCAACTCAGATTTTACAGGAAGTGTTCGTAGGTGGTTTTAACCCCCGTCAAATTCGGCGTTCGAGCTAAATCAACTCCATACATCTTCCAGCTGATTGCTAGTACAGTCCACTATTCTGCTAAAAAAGGTCCCTCCTTCTTTTCAACCCCTGTACAATCCAACTAAACACGCTCGTCGATTATAAGGTCGGACTACGCCCAGACAACTACACTCGTGTACTCATACCTGCTACTTTTGTATTCATGCAGCTAAGAATCATGTTCTTCCAATCATTTCCAAAAATGCTATCAGGGTAAGTTAACATTAGCAGCTTAACCAACAAAATGCATTCTTTCAGAAAGGATGTGTGCTTAATTTAAAAGTTTTATACTTCAAATTGCATATTTTATTACCTCATTTTGCAACAGGCGATTTATGATAAAAGGCGAAGGCCTTTAGAGTGGGAAATATCAAAACCTCATCATTTGTTCACGAAAACGTTTAAACTGTTGCTCATCGAACCTTATAAGAAATGGACAAAAAATCCATTTAAACGAGTTAAGCTACATATGTTTTCCTCACTGACTACCGCAGCCCTTCATCTTTCCACTCACCCCGGTCTGGTGTTGAAACAAACTCTAAAGGATCATTTGTTCACGAAAACGTTTAAACTGTTGCTCATCGAACCTTATAAGAAATGGACAAAAAATCCATTTAAACAAGTTAAGCTACATGTGTTTTCCTCACTGACTACCGCAGCCCTTCATCTTTCCACTCACCCCGGTCTGGAAACAAAACAAACTCTAAAGGATATGAGGATCAGATATATAGTCTTAACTTTGTATTTCCTCAAACTGTGATCCACAGCTGCATGCAGAACGTGATGATAAGAATTAGTCATCTGAAAGGTTGATGTACTTAAATCTCAAAAGCCTAAACCATTTAAAACGAGAACGGAACGACTACCAATAAATCCGGTTCGTCCATCACCTCAAACTAAACAAGCCCTTTGAGTTGTTTACCACAACATCTGAGACATCTGGAAAGGTTCTTGCTTTGTCTCTACTCTACATGGTTGCAGTTGAACGCCAAAGATTCCACTGAACTTAGCGGTTTCGTTGTAAAAGCTTCATCAGAAATCGAGATGGCGTCATCAGTACGTGAAGGATCAGTGCGCCGGTAGGTGGGAAATGTCTTCAGCTCACTAAATTACTAGCGTTTTTCAGAATATGCTCTTCACACGCCCTTATCCTCTAAAACCGTCCCGAGCCAACACTGGCTTAGTATATTCAAAAATGTCCGAGTGATCCGTCTTCTTCTCATGGAGCGCTTAATTCGGACTGCCTGCAGATAAATTGGTGGATACCATTTCAGGATTTCAGTGGCAAACCTAGGTTTCTGAAATTTTCACTTGAGGTTTTGCAGGCCATTAAAGTAGTGGACTCTGTCATGTGTGCGGATTCGTCCAGAAGAGTTAGTAATCCACCATTTCAGTTGACCGACCGCAGTTAATCTAACTGAAGCAACCACGATCCTACTAGCCTTCATGTCACGGTTCAACTTTGTGTGTTTCAATAATGGGTGTTAGAAATAATGTAGATCGCTAACTACCTGATCTATCATTTTGGGAACTCCATTTTTTCTTTCAGTCCGCCAGCTCAGTTGTCCACCAAGCTGTCGAACTACGCAGTAAACTGTTGACTGCATTTGATCATTTTCGTCGATCCTGCGGTGAGACATCATCAACAATGTCCATGGCTCAGTGTATACGAACTTTGGCCTCAAGGATGAATGCAGCATGCGGAAGTCCGGATGCATGGCCTGTGCGCATGCGCATACGCCAGGAAGATGAACTACCCCATTTGGAGTTGCTGGGAGCAAGTCCTTTTTTCGGATCTACGTTGTCAGTGTTCCCAGGTCTCCCAAGCGTAGGAGAGACGACGTCAGTAAGAAATTCCTCTTCCCGAATGTCACCGGCTGCCAATTTACAACGATCCCCTTCCATCACATTATCGTCTCGCAACTTTTTTTCGCGTAGGCCTAGGCGGGACAACAAGTCTGCAGATGATGACACCTCATCTACGCTTTCGATCGATGTTAGTTCCAGCTCATTTTCCAGCAATAAGAGTCAACAGAAGGAGCATTCTCCCACTAGCATATCACTTCCACGTCGACCCAGTATACATTCCAGTACGAGTAGCATCTCGTCACTTTCAACGGGGGGAGTCGAGAAAATGCGGCGCACTGTTGCTGAGTTTGAATCAGTAAGTCTTTCTTCGAAAAAATAAACTAGCTGAACTAAATTCTCACTGTATGTTTCGCCAGAGGTTACGATGTACCTCGTTAATCAACTACCTTAAAGACCAGGCTCGTGAAATAGGATCGGACATTGTTCATAGTAGTCCTGATGCAGCGAGGAACATCACTCTGCTAGCGGATCCTTTGTTTCAACAACAAAAGTTTGTTCTTATGAGTAGTACATTACGAATATACATGTTTCGCGATATCTCAAATATCGTAGAGACTGAAACATGAGGCGGCCCGGTGCAGCACATTCAGTTGCCTGGAGACATCTCAAACGCGAGATTCAGCTGGATTCCAGGTGAGTCTCTCGCAAAACCAAAAATGTTTGCAAATGTGTGTCTTTTCTTAAAGGTTTGTCCCCCTTTTCACTCGTTTTCATTTGAAGAACAAACAGTCGACGCTTGGGCTCTTTGTAGGATTCAATGATGCAGAGTCTGCGTCCAAGGAATGCTTCCGACGAAATTCGAGTATGGCGCACGTAGGACGTGGGATTCAACTTAGGGTTTTTAGCTTGAATTTTTCTTACCGAGGTTTTGGAACACAATTTCAATGGTCTCTTATATCTCAAGGTGCTTACTGGTAGTAGTTATACCACAGCTTGTTTGCTGAAAGCCTGGTACAATTCCACTTCCAAGTCATCCATACCGATGTAACCTAGATGGTCGGTATTCGGCTAGGATAATAAGATTCTGTCACATTCACCAACCGGCTTAAGCATGCCAATTTAACTGCAAATCCAAGCACCATCAGGAAGAATTGTAATTTCCGGCATACTAATAAAATTAAACTACAATTTTACGTGACTCGACCTGTAAGTTGTCGGGGCCAGGTCCCTCATAACCACAATAAAAACTGAGGAAAAATCGGAACAGACAAGTTCACCCCTTCATTTTCACTCACATACCGCCTTTCGGTACATTTAAGACGATATTGTTTGAAGAAAAACAATCTTCAGTAGGTGGCACACTATGAGGTCCAAACTCCAAGAGTAGGTATCATCCGAGCTTATTTTTTAAAGCTTTCCCTGAAGAATGGTGGTCAAATTGGTGATCAAAAGTCGGATATGTAAGTTCTCAATCTCCGGTGTACCTACCATACTTTGGATAGCTACTGTATTACCACACATCTAATCCGGGTTTTAGCTAACTGATAAATTTCTCAAACAGTGGGGTGTTGAACCACATATGGACTGTCCACAAAGCTAGCAGATTAAATGGGAACTTCGAAAGTTAAAATAGCGTAGTTGAATTATGTGTTATAATCTGACGTTCCGGTTTTCATGGTCAACTTTCCCCAAGAATTTCTACAATTTCCTGAGTGTGAGTCAAATGCAGCATCGTTTGGTTCAGCTATCATGCCTTCTGATGGCTGTGTTCCTGAGATCAGTCGGCAGTGAGATGCGACAAGCCTGTGCGGGTGTGTTAGCTCCATATATGTGTACGCATGATTGAGCGTGTACTTCGATTAGGATGTGTCTCCTTCTGTTTAGTTGACTGTGATACATCATTTTTGAGACCACTACTTGACATCCGTCTACTTTGCTTACTATAGTGTCGTTTAAAATGTGCACATTAGCAGGTGCTACGACTGCTCAACTTAGCTATGCCACTCCTAGCACGCCACCACAAAAAGGGGGTGGAATGCCAAAATGTTGCTGCCATCCTTTGGTTGTACTAGCATGCATGTTCAGATAGTTTCAAAAATTTCACCATCAGATTTACAGGCCCTAGAGATACAACAGGCCTCTTTTGTACCAGTTTCCATTTGGAAGTTACAGTGCTATTCCTGTGGAAATTTGGACCCGCTATATCACCGCTACGATCGCAAATTATTTCGGGATGTTTTGCAGCTGTTCAACAATGCCTTCAGTATTGCGTTCCCCCTTTTTTGGCAAACCCGACATTGTTGCCTTTTTATGGCTTGGATTCTCAATACCCTTGCACGTCTGTAGGAATGAGATCGTCTCGAATGAAACTTCTGTTCAATTAGAGCTATCTTTATCTACAAACATCGTGACTAATGGTGCAAGCCAAAGAAAACTCTAAGTTGGCATTCAAGAAGGACATCCAGTTTCAGGAACACCCCCAACAGCCCACGATCGGTTGTGTTGCCCTTCTGGGCTTCATCAGGAAGGCGGGGTCCCATAGTTCCCGCCGACCTTGCACAAAATTCGACAAACCGGTAGTGGGCTGTTGAAGAGCTTTCAGCAACCCTGTGAATATCCTTTCCCCGAAAAAGTTTACTACAATATCTCGAATACCGCACCAACTGGAACGTCAAACGGTCTTAGTGCGGTACATTCAACTGAGGAATATCGTAAACGAGAGATTCAACTTGAATTCCTTTGAATATTTGGTAAAAACCAAATGGGTATGCAGTCGAGTATACTTCTCGGACTTCCGTCTGCTTTCAAGTTACATCGATTTCGCAGTGAAGCGGCCTTGACAGCTCCGGCTTCGCTAGTATGCTTTCCATTGTGCTTCCCTTCCATCATCCATATCCGTGATGCACAATTTTACGCCACTATAAGACATCCTCAAACCAACCAAGTGGAGATGTGAATGGCAAAAGTCAAAAGCCAGTTTTTTACTGAAAATCTTCGACCAAACTATCTTGCCACAGAACTGCTTCAGTTCATTTGTCTAATAACAGCTATTAATTTCCTTTCATTTACGTAACGAATTAGCGCAGTTGGAAGTTGTTATGCTATTTCACTCCATCTGTCTTTAAGTTGGCTCATTTGCCTGTTAAGTACCATCGTCCTCAAGCTCACGTTTTCCCTATACTAAACGTCTATCGGCAGTTGTCTGTGTTCGCTGGGCTGTCAGTCAACCGGGCAGCTGAGAACGCATGGCCGATAAACGACTCTTAGCTAAGTCTGTGAGAATGGTGGACCAGCCTGATTATGATCTCACGAGTCCGGTAGCATATGGGTGATAAAAATACACCCCTACATGCCAAATTGTGCAACAATGGGACTGTCGCAAGGTGTGCGTCAGTTAGACTGGGGGCGCACTGCGAAAATTCGATAACGGCTGAAGAGAACAGTTAACACTAACGAAGAGTGGTCGTCCATCGTTGCCAACACTGAAAGTTCGATCATCTCGGTGCCATCTCACTAATCGTTGACGGAACCTGTAACTTAATTTGAGGGAACCCTTTGACATCTGGTAAGTTATCGCACGAAGACCCCGTTACGAGAGAAAAAACGCAAGGAAAAATATACGGGATTTCCTTTCTTCCTTCGAAAGTCCTAGATTTCCAACTACCACTGTTGCCCAGTATTTCTTATTTCACTAAGAGCATTTATTGGTCGAAATAAGTCTGAATCCAGGATTCCGAAAAACTTTGTCGATGAAGTCCGGATGCCCAAGGGGTCAATTCATACCTAACGAACCTCACTGTCTGCAGGATATCAGTGTAGTAGATGCACTCACTAGTACTCACTAGTACTGATTAAAGTCCAGATGACACCTTAATCTATGGGTTGCAGCACTGAAGCACAGATTGCCAGTAGGCAGAGGATACGCGGGTTTGAGTATCTGACAAGAAGGGGTTTTGGTTTCGAGACAGATGATTATTTTCATTGAGATGTTCATCATCCTAGTTCCCACTGAAGAATACGGTAGTGCAGTCTTGGAATTTTCTATACCCAATGCCCATACATTCTCAACTTCGAAAAATAGCCCTTGCGGTACGCTATGGGCTTCACCATAAACCTAAGAACATAACTAGACCAAATGAATCATCAGTGAGCTCACTTCATATGAACACAGGTCATCTCCATCTTTCCGACATTAAGAATATTTCTATGACATTTGTCAGTTGTTTGTCACTAGTGGAATGATTATTCGTCTGAGCTTGTGGAGAGCCACCTTCCTTACACCAACAGACAACAACCGCTTCATCCCAGTGGAACGACTGAAAAACTACTGAGAAGCTACAGGCGCCGACAGTCGGTCTGATGAATAGACAAACCGAATTGCAGTGGAAGAAAAAAACGGACGTTCAATAACTTTTCCCTAGAAACCCAGCTTCATGGATTTTGCCACAGATCAGATTGATTGCTTTTCAGTGTATGTTAACCTGACATCAAGAGGTGATCATCATCTGCGGTTGGCCAGATCGCTGAAACGTTATTTTGACCAGCACAGCGTGCTTCACAGGGATCAAGTGACCGACAGTATCATGGTCGTAACTTGGCGAATTCACCTGTGTTCACAACTCTATTACATCTCTCGGTTTCTTGTTCCAGACACCATGTGATGGTTCATGTAATAAAGAGGCTGTGGTGTCACAGTGGGCGATTTTTAAACCAGCGCACAACGCACATTCGCACCGAGAAAAATCGGTTCGCCACCAATCCAACGGATACGAAATGCTAGACCTGGACTAACACGAGAGTGACCATCAAAATCATTACCTCAGTGAAGGTGCCTTCTAGTATGTGGGAAACTCCCAAGCCAAAAAGAGTAGATTCTGTGGTTTAGCTAACAGAATAACCCGTAGGGCCGGTTGGAATTCAGAAGTTTAAGGGGAATGCTTCAGCTATCGATAGAATTTACCATTGAACTCAACGCCAGCATATTAACATTCAAACGTGGTCTCATACCAGTGTACTAAGTGCTCAAATGTTCTACCATCCATTGAAATATGTACTGGCTTCATTTTACTGAGATTAGTTTGTTTGGCCTACAAAGAAGTCTTTGTATTAGTCAACAGGCATGAATTTCTCATTTGCACACGAATTTGGTATTGACAGCAGAGGAAACTGTATCCAGCCAAATCCTTCGTTTACTATGTTCCACTTCCTAAGGTTGACGAAAACTGTGGGAGTGAATCTACCTGATGAGCCCCAAGAAGGGTGAAATCGTTCGTCGGTCGTCAGCAGCGTTTAGACAACAAAGCATCTGTTTAGTTGTGTCTCCATAATAACCGTAATAACAATTTATTTACCCAATGCAATTCTCTCTACCTCAACAGGTTATCGAATCCGCAAAATCGGTTATCAAACAAGGACCTTACCTTCGAGTTAAGGTAAGGAATATTCAAATGTACGAGTATCATTCTCCACCCTCAACAGTAATCTTCCTCCATAGTTCCACGTCTTGTTCACCTTCCTCCAGCTTCCTTCGGTTCGCATTAGGGGGATTACCGCACATTTCGATTTTTTACTACAACGGAAAACTGCTTCAAATGGTTAAATTTTACCCCTGATTCTATCTGTAGTGGTTATCCACGCCTGTCCTATCACAGGGTGTTAACTGGTTGGTCGTTCTTTCGCATTAGGGGGATTACCGCACATTTCGATTTTTTACTACAACGGAAAACTGCTTCAAATGGTTAAATTTTACCCCTGATTCTATCTGTAGTGGTTATCCACGCCTGTCCTATCACAGGGTGTTAACTGGTTGGTCGTTCTTTCAACTGCGTTTATGCTGGACTGAGGAAATATGTTTTCAGAGCCCGTTGCCGTCGGTCGATGTCGTTTTTGTACCTCCTAACCACAATAATAGGGATAGTTCTAGCGCTGTCAGTTTGGTTCTCTCTGGTGATATACATTGGGGTGGAAAACAGCTGTACTTGGCTCAAATTGCGCGATACGAGCTCTCTCTAGGCAACCCAAGGCTTGACATTCTTTTGTGGTATAGCAGATAGAAATAGGAATGCAATTAGATGTTTCATACTGCAGATAGAGTCAGTCGACACTGAGAGCTGCGTCATCAGTTGCTAATGTAATTCAAGGACACGAGCTTCCGAACAATTGCTAAACACTACATCATGACTGGTGATGAGTGGCGGCTCAGCAGTAGAACTTTCACTTACACCGGGTACAGTTCTACTCATCCTGTTAGGTTGCAGATGCCCCAAAAGATCAAATGGCTGTATAGAGTGTTTATCTACTTTTCTCTATGAGGGCAACTCATTTTCTTGGTAAAATCTATGGTAAAACTTCAATATCTTTCCAATACATTCTAATGTATTTTATGTATTGTATGTGAATCTAGGCTTTCAGCATAGCGCACCATTTTTAGCCAAGCAACTTCACACGGCTTCATTCACCAACTGAGGTCTCCTAGGTAGCTTGGGATCTTCACTAGTCTTGTCTGTGCTCCTTCGAGACCATCGTTGGATCTGTATATCCCGCTTATTCACTAGGCGCGAGCAAATAAGTCCAGCTCACGACGTAGGGTGATGTAATGCTTTCCGGGTTGTTCGAGTTAGAATCCATTCCAATTTCGCCAAGAATGTAGACTGATCGAGCCAATTTCTACTAGTGTGGCTCGGAGTGGAAAGAAACAAGAATAAGAGGATTGACGAGCACGATTTTTTGGGAAAGTTGCCTCAAATTTTACAAACTCCACAGGTTCAAACAGTGATTGAAATTGGCGAACACCTGTTCCAGACGGGTAGTCGTTTTACATGATTATTGAAGAGATAGCTTAGTTCGTCGCTAGCATAAACTAGTCAGAGTACAGCTCAGTGGGAATGTCAGCGCCAGTGGTGGACCGTAAGCGGATCAGGAGAGGTCTAGCATGAACACGAAATGCCGAGTCGTGAAAACATCTGGTCAAAAACCAGAGCTGAACTGTTGCATCAGTGAATTTGCGCTTGAGTTGTCAGAGTGTCCGTTTGAGCAAGCCAGTTTAAAATTCTCACCTGAACGGAAGGTTTGTAAAGAAATCCTGTTTTACATCATGAAGATCTGATGCTTCGCTTTACATACTTCTATACTTAGCCAGCCGAAGCTTTCGGGCAACTTTGTTTTCTGTTGTTTTTCGGCAACCAATGCTACCGTTAGCAGAGAGACATCCGAAACACACATTCTTATCCAAATGGAATGGGACTGTTAAAATAGATATATTGCCTAAATGTGTTGTTTTTTTATTGTGTACTTGACCTCTATGAGTTTGAATGTCCTGAAACTCAGATAACACTAAGAGTGGAAAGTTAAGTCCCGAGGTCAAACTCCATATTTTTATTCAACATTTTGGCATCAAGCGAAAGTGTTCATAAACGACCCGAGATTGGAATAAATATACTGACGCTAGTTGGTGAAGGACTGTGCAGCCTTGTTTACATAATCTTCCTCATCATATGGTTTTAAGTTGACCATTCCCGTTGATTAGCCGAAATTTTCCACAGTTCTGAGGTTATTCCACTCTAAAGAAAGTCTGTCTGGGGTCCACATTGCAAAACGACTTTCTCTGATCGCGGTTATCCTACTGTGGAATTCCTCTGCTAGAGAATACCCCGGGCACTATAAAACAGCCTAAGAATGATCAATTCTTTGCGACGAATGCACACTGTGATATATTTTTCTTGTCAGATCATCAAGATTGACCAGTAGGGCCGGTTCAAAAACGTCATAGAAACGTACTGTCCACCTGGCCAACGATCCCAGCCTTTATCATAGGCATCACTCAACAAGCACCAATGAGTGCATGGGGCAACAGTAGTCTGCACCACTGGACTCCCCTCAAAACTAGGTTTTCTGGATATCAACACTTTTTCTATCGGGGCTAGTCCAGCCGAACCTCCATAGAACTGAGTGAGGTAGTGAATTCGGCGCAGTTCACGAGCAATTCTCAAGTTGAATCATAGTTTTACGGTTATTCCTAAACATTCATGGGCTGACCGGTCAGCGATATTAACAACCTTGTTTACAATGTACATCAGAACATTTCTCGTACCATTAGACCATAAGTTCGATACAGTCTGACCAGCCACACTGACGTTTTTGGAGTCTTGATATTAGTCACTATACAGTGGTAATCAAAGTGTTCCCCGATTGTAATACCATTTCGGTGTATAACTGCCACGAGGGTTGGGATACTACCCGTGCACCCAAGCCTAGACAGAAACAGTGAAACAACAAGGTAAGTTTTGAAACACGGATATTTCAGTCAGTAATTTCGCATCCTACCCAGTGACATTTCTTGAATGGAGAATCTGTAGAAAGTAGTCACAATAAAAAATAATGACTAGTTACCAACAGTTCCAAGAGCATTATGTAAATCAAAGTTTGAAAATGAAGAGGAATGGTTACAAGGAATGAAAAATATGAATATTTGGGATGACTTGAAGCTGCTGAATAGTTCGAATGGTTGAACTCATTTATATTTGGCGAACCGTTTTGAAGGGTTAGTGGGTATCTGCCAAAATAAACTGTTTCAGCTACATTTATGGTCAAATATACTTACTCCTGAAAATGAATGAACCGTTTTACTCGGTTCCATGTGTTCCCATTTGCGAAGGAGTTGACGCTGAGGACTGTGAGTTTGATTATTAAAAATTAACTTAGTAGACGATATGTGACTAGTTCAGTAGGGTAGTATTTGTTTTATACGCTTGTTTTATTCACTCATGGAATGCTTGGTTAACTGGCAGCTTCGGCCGGTTAAGCTATACGGACATTAATTTGACTCCTTTTAACCTGTGCTTCTATACGATCCTTTTGAGGATGTTGCATTTCTTGTTTCGTTCTGTTCACAATAAGCTACAACAAGCCCAAAAATCTGCACTTGAGGCATACACATCATTCTTGGAAAGCATGAAACATCCCTTGAGTGATTCTAACCATTCAACCCGAGGGGAAGATCAACTGGGAGGACCCGGAGATTCTTCTAGTCTAAAAAGATTTCAGCTACTGGGAACTATGTCGCGACGTCATGATTCGAACCGAACTAACACTACATCAAACCCCCAGCGAGGCGAAACCAAATATGACGCGGGAAGTGTGAATTCTTCATATTGCCGTAAAATGTCTCGTACGGCTGAGAGCGTCACCTGGAATCTACGTATTTTGACCGGGCAAGCGGAGCTTTTATCAATTACTCTGAATGAGTTAAATACGTGGCTAAGACAGGCTCGTGAAGCTGGCGCTGCCAGCGGTCTTTTGATCGGATCAGTTGCATCTGATACAGTAGAACAGATATCTGACAAATTAGGATCCGGATCCTCCCTGAGTGACCCTGCTCAAGACCTTGACTCCAACCAAACGACAGTGACAACAAAAGATATAACCACAACATCAGCAGTCGTCTCTGATCGAACACGACCAAACCACAAACCAATGACATCCGGGTTTTCAAACACTGTAAACCCTTCTAGTGCAACCTTACCTAGGCGTTTACTTTCTCCAACTAATTACACATTGTCCACGTCTTCGCTTTCGGGACCCAGGGGTCTGACCTCATGCTTAAAACCCTCCAATTTGATGAATACTTCTACCACTCAATACTCTGCACCCATGCGTAGCGTGATAACCGAGCAAACTGGGAGACACTCTTATGGCGATGACATAAGCACTCCAAGTCGCTCACGACATACAGTTATGCGATCTAATCAGCAGAAGTTTTGACTTCGTACCAAGTGCTTTCTATTCTCCACAGATGATGTGTACAGTTTAGCATCGATAATCATTGAAACAAATGAAGAGTCTTTACTGATTGCTATGAACTTTCACGTTGCCATGCATCCTTTCGCAGTGAAAAACTGCGGCCCTCGCAAATTTATTTTTCACCCAGAATACCTGGTGTTTGTCCCCAGTTGATCCTTTTTGTACATTGTCCCAACAACCAGATCAAGAAAACCAGCCGCCCTCCAGCTTGCTCATCTGATTTCCTTTGCAGAGCCCAAATGTATATTGGTAGCAACCTTCTTGAACCATCACTCTTTTCTGGATTTTTTCTTGTCAGATCATCTTTGATGAGCAATGCTTATTTTCATGCCTAATTTCACTAACCTAGCGACAAGAACTACGATGTGTTTTTATATAGCAGTCAATTTTGACTAAATTTGACTCAAAGAAGGGTGACAACAGTGGACAGTGGCCACAGGAAACTAACAACTGATTACCCATTGTGGAAGTTCTCTACTCATAAAACAATATATGAGGCAGTGAACAACGGACGACTTGGTGATGAGAGGTCGGTTTCTGTTATCCCTATCGTAGAGTCGTTGCTTTTTTGAACCATTAACGTCATAGAAACGACACTTGCGCGGCAGCCAACTATACTGTCGTCAAATGTCATATCCTTGATGAAATACGCTGGTACAGTTCACAGCCTTGTGCGACCACTATGGCAGTGAGTTTGTGCAAGAATTCGTTGAACGTAATCTCTATCTTAACTTTTGTTTCCGTGACTGAATTCAACTACCCAAACCTCTATGCGTTTTATATGACTTATAGTCTAACTTACTAATAAGAGCTATTGGCTCTATATACTTTAAACCTGGTGTGAAAGATGGATTGCATAATCTTAGGACCTACCAGCTACATTCAAACGTGCATGAATTATGGGCCAGAAACAACACTCAACCCATACTGGCCCAACGGACCTGTCATTTCGTAGTGATGCGTCTTCAAAATCCCAATTCACGTGAGTGAACCAGGTCGCCATGATCCCCCTTGGCTTGATGTTGTAACTGATAAAAACCGCTATGTTTGTAATCGAATAGAGAAGAACGTTCATGTGTGGCGTTATATTTCTTGGTGTGTATACAAAATTCATTCAGATAGCAGCGTGACAAGAGATGCGCTGCACCCTGGGAAAATTACAGCAAACGTAATTCTGATACTGACATACCTACTGGCCGGCAGTGTGCGCGGAGGTCGGTGGTGTGGGAGTGTGGGGTGTATAGCAAAGCTCAGGTATAGACAAAAGATACTGGTAACTTAAGTTAATACATAGTTGAACTGAATCACAAAATAATTGTAACTGGTGACTAAACCATAACCGGGGCAATAGTTCAGTTTCAGTCAGTTAATTTCAGTTTATCAACCATGCAACAGAGGTACTTTTGCTCTATCTGATACTCTGTCGGTCAAATGAAAATGGAAGAGCATGTGAGATATAACCAAGTATTGGAGATGATCGTGTAATCAGTTGGCTCACACTGTATGTTGCTTTCAGCGAACCAGTAGCTGCCCATCGATTCACCAGCGCCACTAATTACGCAGTTGAGCCATTTCCCTAGAGTCCTCATTCAGATATCCCGTAATTTCCAACCAGACAGAGTTTGATGCCTAATGTTTTCGTATTCTGATACCAGGTTATAAACTGCCCGCTTTTCGGCCGCTTCCACTCAGGGCAGGGCTGGATGAATAGAGCCCTGCGAGGCAAATGGTCCTCTGAGATACGAATTGCGCGTCCTTACCGGTGTAAACTATGCAGTGTGAGTAGCTTATCAATTGGAGTGGAGTTCCTATTTCCTAAGACCTGGAATACTTCCGCATTACCAATCCATCAGGTCCCTCCAACGCCTCGGAGGTGCCGATGGCAAAACACCGTCAGATTTCGTGCACCCTCTGCACTTAGAGGCCCTTTTTCTTAAGCATAATGTAAGAATCACGCTGTCTCAGTATAAACTCCGCCCTTGATGAACGAACTGTCGTCATGTCTGCACCATAAATGCCGGTGGTTGGAAAAGTTGCCCTGGTTTTCCCGATTGGAGAATTAATCTCATCTTCGGTCGGTCCACGGAGAACTATGCAACTGCTCAGGTGAACATTATCTATCACTTCGACTGGATGGCCTGCAATCATTAGGGTTTTGGTTCTACCCCACAAGGTCTTGTAGTAGCAATCTACACTTTGTAGGTGCGAAGTGCATACCAAACCGTTCGATTTAATTGTTTAAGTTATTTAGAATGGCTTGTATCTCTGAAAGGTCTGAACTAAGAGGGGAAATATCCCCCTGATTCTCAACACGTGAAAGCAGATGTCCCAGAAACCCCGAGTTTTCATAGGCAGTCTCATAAAATACATCAGTAAAATAGTTGAACTGAAAAAGTGAGAGAATATGATCTTGTCTTGGCCTAATAGTCCTAGTGAACTCAGCAAAGAGCTTATTGTATACTCGAGTGTGCCCTCATGAGGTCGCATACAGCACCTTCATTAGGGATATAAATTTTAAAGGGATACATTTGTTCAGCAAACACCACCAAAGTTTCTGGCGATCGCCGGTAGAAAGAGCTGTCAGAGCAAGAAAAACTACCAACTTAAGAGGCCTGGATGAACATCGTTGTCCATAACTAGTCTCAAGGCAAAGATATGGTAAAAGCATCGTTGGCAAGAGCGAAGCACTTCTTGATTCCCACGAGTCTCTTCCTTCAATAACTGATCAACCTGCGATAACACAATACCAGAAAACAACTTTGAATGCCACGGCTAAAAATATGATGACATTCTCGCCACTTCTTTTTTAAATCGGGCTCACGGCTAGAAAGTTCCAGTCCATTGGTCTGCTGGTCTTGTTCCAAATCTTCCGTAGTAATTATCACTGTTTTCCGGATCTTCAACATCTATAACTATCTGGGTTGTGTGCCTTGTCGCCTTGATGCTTCACTCTGGAGTTCTGATGTTTACAGTGGTTTGGTGTTCCATTCTGGCTTGCTTGGATATTTCAGAGCCGAAGGAGGCCAGCTGAAATGCTGTTCAAAATTTCTAACCTAACTTTCAAAACGACAGTTTTGTGAATAATTCACCTTCCCATTTTCTTGGCAGACTCACTAACACCTGTCCTGTTTTGGCCGATCGATCGAGCCAGCTGAAACGAGACGCAGCTGTTGCCTGTAGCGAAAGCCCTCTTCATCTTCTGGGCCTTCACAATTCATCCTTGCTCTGTCATTCGTTAGGCCGTTAATTATCCGGCGTTAGGTGGATCTTTTTGACCAGTCGTTAATATGGATTTTCTGGCAGCAGTCAGATCACCAGATCTCGGCGACATCCACTGTCCATATCATCAAAGGGAATAACTTGGACAGACACTTCTGATGGCTGACAGCATCGCCTTTTTACTCCCATTCAAAGGTCAACCAAACTTCGTCATCGACGTAACTGTGCGTCTCCAGTTGCTTTCCTGCAAGATCAAGTACGATACCGTTGAGCTACTGAAAGTCGTCGAAGTTCATAAACGGAATAACTTTACGTCAGCACAGGTAAACTGAAGCGAACTGATCCCGCGCGATAGAATAATCGGAGTCAATCTGCGTACTCCAGAAGGAACAACAATCTTTAGTTGAGGCTTTCCATGAGTCATCTGATCTAACCGGCTGTTGACCTCCAAGTAACTCAGTGCTTGTGTTGAAAGTTCGTACTTGCCAGGAGCAGATGATGTTCGGAACGCAACTGAAATAGTCCCTCCCCAACATCACTACGCTTCGCGTGCACTCCTAGTCCTCTACTTCCAGGCTTAACCATCCAACTCGGTTGTTGAGCTAAGTAAACAAGTGAACTTGAATGAACTCAAATCATAGTGTCAAACCGGAGCCTAAAGTTAAGACTGGAGGCAAAAGCAAACTGGTGAGTGCTAAAGAGGCATAAATTCCAATCAAACAATTTCTACTCTGGATCTGATCAAGTCGTCATGTATGCGATGGGTGACAAGTCGCAATGATCACCGCCATGTTCTCAACCTAGCAAGAATTCTCGATTTTCTGAATGTGTGATAACGAGGGATCGATGGTGTGATAGGATGAGCATAAACTCATAACTGCTGTTGACCGATTATCGGTTGGTGTTGCCTGGAAAGGGAAGGAAGGAAGACAACGTAACAAGTTATTTGGATGAATAAAGGTAAGGGCAGAGGAAAGACACGGATTACCGTAGAGTAACAAGAGATGCACAGGAACTGTATATCCAGAAAACCCCTTTCAGAGGAATTATCTATCATTGATATCATTTGATCAATGAGACTGCAGTTTACACACTTACGTATGGTTTGAAGTTAGTGGAGTTCGTTCCATATAAATGTGTTCCGAACGAAGAAAAGTTCCGATTCAACCATGTGTACATGGTGATAGTAGAACAACAGTGTGTAGGTTTATCCTTAAATGATGGGCTTAGAAACACAGCTAGTAAATTACAATCTCATTCGGTATAACCAGAGCTTATTACGACTGAAAATATTTTATTGTGGAAAGTATAATTGGCACATTTTTATGAGTAATTCCAGTGGTTATTCGATCACAGGTATGCCTACGGGCTGATATGATGAATAATATCTTCTTTTATCCCTAATTTGCGCCTCCAGGTGTGTTGAAGTGTAGACACACTTAACTAATGAGGTCCAGGGCCTCGTCATTCTGAATTGCTTGCCCACAACGGCTTGTCGTAAAGGAATAACTTACATCCAGATCACATTTTTCAGTATGGGAATCGGCGTGGAATAATGCCACAACGCAAACTTCCTTTGTTGTAAATGTTTGCGCATTATCGAGATGACATAGCGAATTGGTAAAATTTTGAGGATCGTTTATCACAGTTTGGTGAATGATGAAATGTAAACAATTTTAATATCAAGTACAAATAATAGTCGCAGTGACAATGGTGTTATTATATGCGAGAGACCGGGTTAGCACCAAAAACACTGACCTAAATTAGATCACTAGGAGAGTCTGAAAATATTTTCTGTCGATTTCTTTCTGGACCTCCCTGTAATACTTACCCCTAGGAAGGAATTACGCCAGCTTGCCAGTTTACGATAAGAGGGTGGTTGTGGTCGAAAATGAAAGCATCCAGGTTAAGAATTCGAAGGAGACTTTTTTGCTCACAAACTATATTACAACCTCATAAAACTTCCCATACTTGCCATTGCCAATCAGATCCCCATAATAATACTACCCTTTCTTGAAAACCCTGCTGAAATAGAAGGATTGAGTTTGTCGGTATTGTAATTCGACCCAATTTTACTGATTACCCGGTTTATGATCTAGGTGTGATCTATAATTGATGAGGTCTTAGCTTGAGCCACTTTTGTGAAGGGGAATAATCACTTCATTGGAGAGAGCTTGGAACCTGTTTTATCTAATGACTCGTCAATCTGTGGTATCTGTTGCCGACCCGCTCCATGCCCAGTGCCGGAAAAGAAAGACTCACAGAAGGGAACACACCAGCTATATTCTGAACAATCGAGTGCAAGAGCGTGAGTGCGTGTGAGTGCGAAAATTACGACGGTCTCAAGTTATTTATTGGAAGGACACTGTCTGAACTTGGTCCAATACTGACGCACACGGCTTTAGTACGAGGCTGTGATGTGCTGCATACCGCGGGGGGCGTTGTCTGACCTTGAGCAACGCTGACTCGCGCTGTCTGGGTTCGATACAAGGCTGTGACGCGCTGCATGCTGAGGGCGTGTTGTTTGTCTGGTCAACATCTAGCGGAGCTGAGAGTCTCGGCAGATTTCGGGAATTCAGTGGCTGCTCTCAGGAAGCTGACCTTCCTGATAGAACCGATTGCGAAGCCATCGCTACAGAAGGGCGCGGTGAATAATCTGCAGTTTTGAAATCGATAACGTTTCACCTTTGATACAAAAGCTTCATTAGACCAAGTGAACAGGTCATCAAGTTGGTCAGGTTTTAGGGCAGACGGAGGACCAATTAGTAAGACCTCTTCAGATAAGCACACCTGATCAGTTTTGAATGTCAGTTAAAGGGTATTATCCGTTAATCTTAAGGTTGTGTTGGGGGGTTTCAGATTATTGTTGGTCGGGTAAGTTCAGGTCCAAAGTTCTTCGATGGATAATTCACCTCCGGTGCCAATGGTAAACTTTGTTGGTCTGTGTGGGTAAGTGCCACGACGCTTTCGTTGGTGTGTGGATTGTTTTGGGTTAATTGAACTTGAGATCTAAGCCACTTCTGTTGACGACTCCTGTCGCTGATAACCACAGACCAGCTCGACCCACCTAAGACAGTTCTTCACACGATTGCCATTTCTACTTTATTCGATTAACACTGAGATGCTTGGCGTGAACCATGGTGTCCACCTCAAAATTTCAACATTTTCTGAATCTAGTTTGTGTCCCGTGTCCGGTGCATGTTCGCCATTGCTGAGTCTTTCAGTCTCCCATCCGCGTTTCTCTGTAATCTGTTCATTTTCATCCCGTGTTCTCCGATTCTAGTTTGAAGTTATCTGGCCGTCCGCCCTAATAAATCTCAGTGCGATTGTCGCATTTAAATTTTTATGCACTGTCCCTGGCTCCCTTTGCCGGGAGGCGATTATTCAGGTGGAATGATTTGGCGGCTAAGAATGCTATTCGGACAGAAGCGAGTAACGTGTGAGGTGGCCTAACTTGTGGAGATACAGGTATAAAGCTGTGCTTCAAGTATCTTTGATTTATATATGTGGCGGTTCGCCCTGTTTGCCTCTAATCTTGCCAGTCGAACGTGATCACTCCACAGTTTGCGAACACATGATCCGTAGTTGTTTTCAGTCAACTGGAAAAAATTGGAACAGACTGAGAGATATTGTTCCAAAAGGGCTTGGAAGTCGGTAGTTTTCAACTGGGCAACTTTTCACTTTTGAAAAAAAGAGCTTTTGACACAAACATAATCGCTGTCTGTGCTCATGGAAAAGACGAGCAGCTATTTTTCGATTGAGTGGAAGTGCTTGGAAGGAGGGTAGGAATTTGGACGAGGATTAGGAACAAACGATGGTTTGGATCAGCGTTTTTTTATAGTGCACTAGATTCACGGTGATTAAAAGGGCTATATCAACTGAGTTGATGTGGTAAATCTTGAATGTTTTACAGAATGCAGGAGACCCCACTCAGGGGACCAAATTAAGTTGCGTGTGACTATTTCGAAATCCAGATTTTCAGCTTGTAATTTTGCATTCGACCTTTCCTGCTGAAAGCTCCCGAGGGTTTAATAACTTTTCATTTACATTATTACTGATTTTCACAAAAATAGGTAGTTGTTGGACGTTAAGGTGTCAAAGTAACGTGCGTTTTGCGAGGAAAGTCGTTACCTTGATTCTCAGTGGAATTGGAACAGAGAAAACGGTAATTACAAGTCATAGATCAGAGTGAAGATAAGTAATATTTGTCGCACATGTGTCAGGGTAAAATGTGGGAGATAATTCTACACAATTTATCCCAATAACAGGAACGTAGCTCAGAAAAACTGAGACTTGTCAAATGGAGTTTTGTATAGTGTTGATGCGGAGGACGTTTCCCTCATTTCCACAGAGCTAAACATCTGTGATATATGAATGGATACTCTAATAAGAAGCAACTAAAGGGTTTGGTGGTCACATGTTGATGAAATTAACTTTTGAACTGAAACGACTTTTAGTTCTAAACTTGTAGATTCTCTGCAGCGTTTATGGGTCTGACATGGTGACCAAGGGAGGCGGACCTAATGAAGGTACACATAGTGAGCTCACCTGCAAAGCTAGTTGAGAAACGGTAACAAGTTGTTCGTTAGACGTACTGAAAAGGAGGTAACAGAGTTGACTGTATGTTGGTTTCAACGGCAGGCTATAAAAGGATGGGAGTTTCAGATAATTTAAGCGTATGCTATAT